TCTAGAGAGATTAAAGAGCTTTCCATCTGATCTAGTCCAGAGACAGACACCTTCTGTTGCAGTTCTTCAGCATGACAGCAAAAAAGATTCCAAACAGGGTCATCGCAAGGACACAGCCCTGTTTCACTCCACTTCGGATGTCAAAGGGATCTGATGTTAAGCCATTAAAAACTACAGTGCCCTTCATTTCCTCATGAAAGGACCTGATAATGTTAAGGAATCAAGGTGGACATACAATCTTGGGAAGTATTTTAAAAAGGCCGTCCCTGCTAACCAGAATCAAAGGCCTTTGTGAGATCTATGAAGGCCACAAAGAGTGGCTGTCTTTGTTCCATTTTTCCTGCAACTGACTGAGGGAAAATACCATGTCAGTGGTGGACCTATTAGCTTCAAATCCACACTGTGATTCTGGATAGACTCTGTCTGCAAGCACCTGGAGCCTCTTCAGCAAAACATGGGCAAGCAGCTTCCCTACAACGCTGAGAAGAGAGATGCCACAGTAGTTATTGCAGTCACCCCTGTCTCCTTTGTTCTTGTACAATGTGAAGATGTTTGCATATTTCATGTCCTGCGGTATTCCACCTTTCCTCCAGCAAAGAAAAAAGATTTCATACAGCTTGGTGGTGATTATCTTTTTACAGCACTTCAGCAGAGATGGTGTCCTTCCCAGGTGCCTTGCCAGAGGCGAGGGAATCTAAGGCCGCTTTTATTTCTGCTAAAGTTGGTTCGCTGTCCAACTCTTCCCAGACAGGCAGGCACTTTACGTTATTTAAAACCTCTTTGGTTACTACATTCTCTCTGGAATATAGCTCAGAGTAGTGCTGCACCCAGTGTTCCATCTGCTGTGCTGGGTCCTGGTTGATCACGCCTGGAGCAGACTTCAAAGGAGCAGATTTCGTCTGTATTGGACCTAAAGCCTGCTTGATGTATTAACTAAATAACAGCTTAATAATCTTACAGGTCTCTACATCTCTACATGTTGGCTTTTCATATCTAGTGGGATTTTTATCTAAAATGTTTGAATACATAATCCTCTACCTGCAGAGGGGGGGGGAAAGAGAGGTATTTAAAGACAGGTATAAAAGCTGCTGTCTTGAACAAAATTCTATTTGGATGTCTCAGTGCAGCATGAAAGTGACCCGAGGCTTTCACTAGAAAACATGGCCTTCAAGTTATAGCAGCTATAAACACAGTAACAAAGTGGAATAGTTGCAATCTGCATTGGTGGAGAGTCTAATTACACCAATGAAGTCACAGATCATCAGGATGGAGATAATAAAGACATTTTAGCATTATAATAAAGACATGTTACCAAATAAACATGCTTAAAGTTTCCACCACATTCTTGATTACACTGAACACATCTTATTGAAACAATTACTGGCCAAAATTCTTTTACATAGTTACATCTGTATAACTTTAAGTTACTCAAGTGGTTCTGAAATTCACACCAAAGAAAACATAATATCTAGCAAACAGTTTTGCAGGCAAGTTGTGATCTAGAATCCACAAAGCTAGTTGTGCAAGCAGCTGGACGATCAGGCACAAAATGCAGATTGCTTGGGCATAAGGCCTTGCAAACATCTGCAGACATAACTTTATGCTATGCCAAATGCAATTTAACTTCATCCTATATGTATTTTTTACTCCCTTCAGCCATTTGATTTTTACCTGTGAGCAGCTGGCAATAGTGCTTGTTGGCAAGCCTATGGAGGGAGCCCAGGCAACATCTCTAACCCAATCACTGTGAGCTTCTAATTTCTGTTCTTCTTTCCACTGGCCATCTTCTTCTCTGGCAGAAATGTAGGGAAAAGAGATGCAAACTGAGAGACCCCAAACTTTGCCTCATCATTATTTCCTTCACTAAAATTTGCTTTGTTGCAATAAAGGAAACGGCTGTCTTTGTTAAATGAGGAACAGAAGCTCTGAGCAGGAACTGCATTCCAGCCCCATGCTCATATTAAAATCACAAAGAACATTCTTATTTTCTTCTGATCAAAATACTTTGCAGCATGACTTTTCAAAACTCCCCATGTTATATTAGCAACTGTTTGGGAAAGTCATAGTACTTTTTCGGCAGCATCCTCTGAAAAGATCCAGAGGAATTATTGGCCAGAAACATAAGAGGGAGCAAAAGCCTGATGCAAATGCAGAACTCCCTTGACCTGGAGCCTTAGTCATCGTCATCGTCATCATCCAACAAAGGTATAAGGAATGTCAGTGTAGTAGCAAATGAGAGAGGGAGGAGGAGGCGAAACCCACTACTGGAGAGGAAAAGAAGGCTTTTAAGCAATCTAACATCTTGGACAGTTAGTGGCAAGGCTGAAAGAAGGATAAACAAAGGACTGTCTTTCACAGTTTTACACACACACAAAAACTGTTAAATAAGCCTCACAGGGCAGAACAGAGTGTGATGTAGTGGCTAGAGTGTTGGACTGAAGAGAGAGTATGTTGTAGTGGTTAGAGAGTTGGACTGAGACTTAAAAGAGACCCACATTTATTTCCCCACTAAGCCATGAAACTCAGGAGGGAACCTGGAACAGTCATTCTCTCTCAGCCAAGCTGACCACAAATAGGGATTGGGAGGAGAGCCACATAAACCAGCTTTAGCTCACTGGAGGGAACGTGGGATGTCATTCTAAATAACAACAGCAACTTACTTCCAGATCTTGATCAGGTTATCACAGCCACCTGAGGCAAAACGCTTGATGTAGTTTGGCTTTTGGCTTGACGGCTGGTCTATAAGGCTTCCTGGTACAACCGCAGGGGCCCAGCTCACAGCATTGCAGCCAATCTGTGAAAAATAAAATTCTGCAATATTTTTACTCAGAACCAAAGCAAGTGCCCAAATTTCATTCTTGAGTGCCCACTATGGTAACAGAATACAGTGGCACTTCCTGAAATAGCCTTTGAAAGGTCACTCTCTTGTGAGGTTCTGAATGGTATTTTAAGAAGTGTTACAAAATGAATATATACTCACAGTGTGTGCATTGCTGATTTTTTTCACTTCCCACTGTCCATCACCAGTGTAGCTCAACAGAGAGATGGCCCCATCAGAACTGCCACAAGCCAGGATCAATCCATAGTCTTGTGGTGCCCAACATACGGAATTCACTGTCAGAACACACAGAGGTTTGATTGGATTATAGTACAGAACAGTTAGAAGTCCAGATAAAAGCACTCACATGCTTGTTGGCCCTAGAGACATGTTAGAGGCAGCAGTAGACACAAGAACAGCCTCTTCTTTCAAGTGGGATATGTAGATCATACTAGGCTGATAGGATTTCTTTTTAAATGCAAGTATTAAATATTTAAAATAGTGTCAGTGTGGCCTGTATTGGCATAAACATTTTAAAGCTGGTGTTGATCCCAGAGCTGCTGTACTGTAGCTAACCAATTCACACAACATCACTGTACCACATCTGCAAATACTAGTGATGACAGGATACCTGCAACAGCAGGGAATCTCTACAGGTGGCAGTGAAATCACTGTAAAAAGATGCAGAAGAAGGCAAGAAGAATCCATGGTATACAAATACCATTTGTAACTGAGTTGCTGTTTTCATGTCGGTTTGTTCCACTCAAATGTACTGTACATTTAAAAACATCCTGATAATTTGCATCTTTGCCATCTAGTTCCAGTGTAATAGCCAATATGAAGTACTTCTCTATCTGCCATGCCCCATAGGATCAGAACTATTTCCCCCTAAATGTTATACAGTAACTGAAAGAGATTCATGATTTTAAATGCAAGGGTGTTTCCATGACAGCTAAAACTACTTCTCATGTTAAAAAGTCTCCAGTATCCAGTTGCTGGTGTGAATGAAAGCAGTGGCAAGGATTACTAACCAATACGTCTGGCTTTTGATGAATAATGTTCATTAAATATGTGGATTCACCTTCATTTACAATACTGTTGTGATTTAGATAAAATGAAATACGGGGATTTCTGCAGTTTACTATAAATAACTAAGATAACACCAACACTAAACACAAGTTTGGATGTATGGAAACTGTTGTTTGCTATTAACTCGGGGCAAACTGCTAACTCAATGAGAGGAAGCATTTACAACACTTGTGATTTAGATAAAATGAAATACGGGGATTTCTGCAGTTTACTATAAATAACTAAGATAACACCAACACTAAACACAAGTTTGGATGTATGGAAACTGTTGTTTGCTATTAACTCGGGGCAAACTGCTAACTCAATGAGAGGAAGGGACAGAAGGGGCCTTGAAGGCACAAAGAACATTCTCAGTCTTTCATAGTTTATAGTATTTGGAATATAACACTTAAAGAGATCTGGAAGGTCACAATGCATAATGTTATTCATAGGTCTCATTCATAGGTCTGTAGGTTTTGTCCTACAAAATGTCATTTTATATATATGACATTTTGTAGGACAAAACCTACAGACCTATGAATGAGACCTATGAATAACATTATGCATTGTGACCTTCCAGATCTCTTTAAGTGTTATATTCCAAATACTATAAACTATGAAAGACTGAGAATGTTCTTTGTGCCTTCAAGGCCCCTTCTGTCCCTTCCTCTCATTGAGTTAGCAGTTTGCCCCGAGTTAATAGCAAACAACAGTTTCCATACATCCAAACTTGTGTTTAGTGTTGGTGTTATCTTAGTTATTTATAGTAAACTGCAGAAATCCCCGTATTTCATTTTATCTAAATCACAAGTGTTGTAAGGAAGCTAAATGTCTAGGTTCCAAATAGGCACTTGCTGCCTAGTGTATATGCAAGTGACCCACATTTCTCAAAACTTCCACCAGAGGGCTGGAGTGAGCCTGTACCAGACCAGGGGTGGATGATCTACAGAGGTCTTGGAGCCACACGGCCCAGGCCTTGACCTTGGAGGGCTTCACTTACATCCATGACTCCACCTCTAAAGAAGTTCTAACAAAACTGAGTTTTTTTAAACTGATGCGGTCTCCTTGCACTTAGTGGCCTTTTTTTTTTTAAGTAAACAACAGAATGGGCCACAGCAATAATTAATGGGTCTTTCCTTGAGGGCAGAGTTCCTCCTGCCCTCAAGGAGACACTCATTAGGCTCATAAGGAAGAAACCTAATTTGGTGGCGGATGAAATTGGAAATTATAGGCCCGTCGCCAACATTTCTTTCATCAGCAAAGTGGTCAAGAGGGTGGTGGCTGATCAGCTGCGGATGAAACAGACACCCTGGATCCGTTTCAGTTGGGCTTCAGGCTGCGCCACGGTATAGAAACGGCATTGGTCGCCCTGTATGATGAGGGAGGTTGAGGGGTAAAATGTCTCTGTTGGTCCTCCTCAACATCTCGGTGGCCTTCAATACCGTCGACCACGGTATCCTCCTGGGGAGGCTCTCTGAGTTGGGAATTGGTGGCCTGGCATTTGCCTGGCTCTGATCCTTCTTAGAGGACCGTCCCCAGAGAGTACAACTTGGGGACAGTGTTTCGGCCCTGTGGAATCTCAATTGTGGGGTTCCACAGAGGTTGATTCTATATGAGGCCGCTGGGTGGGGTTATCAGGGGATGTGGAGTATCGTGTCAGCAGATGCTCTACATCTCTTTTTCACCAACTGCAGGAGATGCCATTCTGTCCCTTCACGCTGCCTGGGGGCTGTACTGCAATGGATGTAGGAAAATGGGCTGACAAGACGGAGGTTCTGAGGATGGGTGACCCTACTGTAGGTGGTTTGGGAAACTCTCGTTTGGGGGGTGACCCTTACCGCTAAGAGTGGGGTTTGCAGCTTGGGGATCCATCTGGACCCGGTGCTCACCATGGAAACTCAGGTGGCATCGGTGGTCTGTACCGCCTTTTTTCATCTCTGGTGGATAGCCCAGCTGCGACCCTATCTCAATGTCGGGGCACTCACTACCTTGGTACATGCGCTCGTAATTTCAAGATTAGATCACTGTAATGCGCTCTACATGGGGCTACCTTTGAGGCTGATGCGGAAACTCCAAGTGGTGCAGAATGCGGCGGCCAGACTCCTTAGTGGAGTAAGAAAATACCACCATATCTCACCCACTCTGGCCGCACTGCATTGGCTGCGCATTCGGTTCCGCATTGACTTCAAAGTGTTGATGCTTACGTATAAAGCCCTAAACGGTTTAGGGCCTCGATATTTGACAGAATGCCTTCTCCTACCAAGAACTACCTGGGTCACTCGATCGAGTCAGGAGGTGAGGCTGAGGAGCCTTACATCGAGAGAGGCCTGAAAGGAAAAAAAACAAGAAATCGGGCCTTCTTAGCGGTGGCTCCTCGCCTCTGGAACAACCTCCCTCCAGAAATTTGTGCGGCCTCGTCGCTGGGTATTTTTAAGAACCAATTAAAAACTTGGATGTTTAAGCAGGCCTTCCCTCCAGTTAATACTTAAATTTCCCCTTTTCATTTCCCCTTTGTTATTTTTCCATCTTGAAGAATCTGTTTATTGGTCTAAAAATTTTTCTTTGTTACATTTATATGCTGTTTTTTATTTGTTTGGAAGCCGCCTAAGCAAGACCAGATAGGCGGGGTATAAAATAAACAAATAAACAAATAAACAAATAAACAAATAAACAAATAAACAAACAAACAAACAAACAAACAAACATATATATATATATAGGCGGAGATGAGGTGTTGGCAGCCCCTCAAAAATATGGTAAAATTGCCCCCACATCTCATAGAAGGCACAAAGAATCTTTAAAGTCCATTTTATTCCAACAAAACAACTTGTAGGGGGTAGGGGCTCTGCGGGCTACATGCTGCACACCCCTACTTTAGAATGGTGCTCATTGTAAAGGAGTGGCTGCAGTCAGATGCAAGAATCAGCAAAATCTGCAAGTCCTCTTATAGGGTTCCTGGTCTTCCAAATAAGTTTTCCAACTTTTACTGTTTGTGCAGTTGAGTCAAGCTTCAACACAACATTGCATGTCAAAGGACATTGAACTGTATAACAAAAACTCATTGTGCTCAGTTAAAGAATACAGACCAAAAATCTGTGATTAGCACTACTGTACTCCTTTTCTAATCAGTGTATGGAAATTACAATTGAAGTCATGTAAAAGTATTACACTTTCCTGCTTGCACTGAAAAGTGCCATACCTGAGGAATCATGCCCCGTATATTCATATGTCTTTTCCCAGGTACCATTCTCTTCTTTCCAAATAATAACTTTCCTGTCATAGGAACAGGAAGCCAAGATGTTTCCATACATAGGATGAGCCCAGGCAACTTGCCACACTGGGCCTTCATGCCTGCAAAACCAAGGTGAATCGAAAGAAGAGAAGGATAAGTGCACCAAGCCTTTCTTTACAGTTGTTTACACACTGGCGTCATTTCGAAGTGATTCAGAATCATATTACACTTTAAACATTATATACTGCTAAAATATGGAAAGTAAAAATCAAGAAGCAATTATACCAGAGAGGCGTGACTTCTACTGTCTGAACAGATGAGTCAGGATAGTTACTTCGGTTTGTTCCCACCCTACCAAAGGTTTCAGAGCATCTATTCACTAGATTTTTTTTCTTTTTTAAAAAACAGAAAGCTAAAGAAGAGAAACCATGGCAACCAAGGACAAGTGGAATTTAGAAAAGCTTTGCAATAGGGATGGAAATTTTCACATTATCCTCTTTTAGAACATCCATTTCACCTCCTTAGTTACTCAATGAAGGGTAGATGCCATAATGCCCACCTTTTGCATTTCAGCTGTCCGACTGCCATCCCAATTAGACTACACACAAAAATTTCCCTTCCCTGCTTTTTGTAAATATATTCAATCCAGTTTCCATTCCAAGAATACTTAATTCTAAGCATTAGATAAACAGATGTGGAGGTTATATTGTCAAGTTCATTAAACATCAATATATAAACAAAGCATATCCATTTTCACTCTCCAAAAAGTCAATGATGATGTGATTAGGAAAAGATAAATAAAACGGGAAATGTAGCATGAGATTACCTTGTCTTCAATTGACTCACCCTCTTAAGTCAGCTATGAGAATTTGCCCTCCATTCCTTACATCAAATATTTTGACTGATCTGTCTGAGGAGCAGGTTGCCAGCCGTGTTCCATAATAATCCATCTGAGCATCATGCTGGGACATAATAAAAAGGCTTTCATAGCAATGAATTCTAACTTTATTAATACAGACATTTTTTAAATCTTAAAAAATAACCTTTAATGTTGACACAGTGCAACTGAATGAATAAATTACCATTTATTTATTTATTTATCTATCTATCTATCTATCTATCTATCTATCTGAAAATTACCACACAGTGGCTGAAATCCTGTTGCATAAAAATTCTTAATTTTCAGTATTTGTTTGTTTGTTTGTTTGTTTGTTTATTCATTCATTCATTCATTTATCCTGCCTATCTGGTCATTGTGACCACTCTAGGTGGCTAGAGTGGTCGCAATGTACATTCTTAAGCACCAAATAAAAACTCTCCAGTCCCCATCACAATTCTTGGGAGTACGCACATGAGCACATCAAGCCAGCATGCATGCATGTCATCAAAAATCGTGGTAAGGAGGACTGAAAATAATGAATTTGATAAGCAATAGAGTTTCATCCAGTACTTTACTAGAAAATAAGTTGTAAATAACACTGTATCAGACTGTATTTCTGCCTACAAAACAGAAACACAACACTGACAGCCAAGCAACAGGTAAAATAATAATAATAAAAAACTTACTATCATATCCTCATGGGAAGTGTCCACTGTATTGATTACAGACACCTAATGGGAAAATAGAGATGGTTAGACTATGGATAAATCCTAACCTTAGATTCCTAATCAAGTATTAAAATATGTCATTATTTTGTTTCAAGTGTTTAACTAAGATTTGAATATATTATTTAGCACCACTGATCTTCTGAAAGCCAAGACATCCAAGGAGATAGGTAGAGTCAAAATGGGTTGGAAGGACAACATAGCCGACATCCTGCAATCTGTACATGTACATTACAGTGGGGCGGGATCTGCCTTTCCCCCCTGAGTACTTCCTATTGTGCATTGACATGTGGGCAACTGCCATTTGGATGTACCCGCACAGTGCCAGACTGGATCTGAACATTCCTATTTGTCACCAGATTCTGACAATCATAGTGTATGACCAAAAGGCCAGAGTTGTTTAGTCATTTAGTTGTGTCCGACTCTTTGTGACCCCATGGACCAGAGCATGCCAGGCCTTCCTATCTTCTACTGTCTGGACATGATAAAGGACAACAATGGGAGGAACCTAACAGAAACAGAAGATATCAAGAAGAGGTGGCAAGAATACCCAGAGGAATTATACCAGAAAGATTTGGATAGCAGCATGCTTTGGATACCCCGGACAACCCAGGTAGTGTGGCTGCTGATCTTGAGACAGACATCCCGGAGAGTGAAGTCAAGTGGGCCTTAGAAAGCATGGCTAACAAGGCCAGTGGAGGTGATGGCATTCCATGTGTACTACAATTGTGCCCCGCTGGACGATCACCCTGCTCTATGATGAATCCGCTTTACGTTGATGTTTATGCGATCGCAAAACGATGTTTTAAATGGGTTTTTTTCACTGTGCGATGATCGGTACCCTGCTTCAGGAACCAATTTTCGTCGGGTTTCAAAATGGCTGCCAGCTGAAGAAAATGGCCCCCCGCTGTTTTCTAGGACGGATTCCTCGCTTTACAGGCACCAAAAATGGCCGTCGTATGGAGGATCCTCACTGGATGAGCAGGTATTCCGCCCATTGGAATGCACTGAACGGTTTTCAATGTGTTTCAATGGGTTTTTTAATTTCGTTTGAAGTTTTCGCTCTACAGCGATTTCGCTGGAACGAATTAATGTCATCAAGTGAGGCACCACTGTACTTAAAATCTTAACAGATGACGCTGTTAAGGTACTATATTCAATATGCTAGCAAGTTTGGAAAACTCAACAGT